CGGCGGAGTCCCGTGCCTCTGAGGCTTTGCCAGAGCAAAGCCTCAGAGGTGCGGGACCCCTCCGCCTCCCCAGCAGACCAGGGGCACCCGGAGCAGCTTTTCTCACCCCGGAGGTTGAGGTGGCGGGACTGCTGCACTCTGGGCGGTCCCGCTGCCTGCGAGCTCTGGGGCGAGAAAGCCCCGTTCGTAAGTGCGGATCCGCGTAACTCGGGGACTGCCTGTATTTTCTAAATAAGATGTAATGTTGATTGTGATGTAATGTCAAGCGTATCCAGTATTTTTGTTGAAACCATCTGGCAACCCTATCCCCCGCTTATAAAGGCTAAGCATGGGTCTATATTGAAAAATTAGATATTAGAAAATATGAGGCAGGGGACTGAACTTGATGACCTCTCGAGATCCCTTCCAGTTCTAGTATTCTATGGTTGTACAATTCTATACACCACTGAGCACCGTATTTAGGTCAGCCTCTCTCCCTCCGAACCACTCAGTCAAGACATGGCTATGTCAACAAAAGAATTCTTCTGTCAGCCTAGCTACTCTCTGGTTGCAGTGTGTGTGGAATCTGTAACTGTTTGAATTGCATGTGTGCTGAGAAACCTTGAAAGTAAGGACTCCAGAAGGAAAAGCACAAAGTTCGCCATAGTCTTTTCAGGAAAGGAATAGTGAAACAATGGGAAAGTACATAATGAACAGCTGAAGAAAAAGCATCTGTCTTAGTTACGCAGAGAAAGGCAGATTAATGCTGAGGACGGGATGAAATCGCAGCTAGTAAATTTGCTGTATTTTAATGACCTGTTGAGGAATGACGGTCCTGGTTTGTAAAGAACCTCAAACCTGCTGGCAGCGAGTCCTGCGGATTGGGTTATTGGCTGAGGGGTGAGTCTTGGAGCTAATGCCCTGGAAAGAAAGAGGGAAGAGGCTGACAGATGCAGTAACTAGGTTCCAACCAGACCATACACTCGACTGCAACATTAGTGGGGGACAGCTCGACAGCTGAAGCAGGAAGAGCTGCAGCTGGAGAGGGATCCTGTTTCTGGAAATCCAGCATCTTACAGATTGGAACCAGCAGTCAGGGGCGGCCGACCCCCCTTCCCCTGCCCCGTGTGCTGCCTCTCCCAGGATTTACCCTCCTCCTGGCCGAACGGAAGCCGTGCTCCAGGTAAGGCACCAGAAAGGGAATGGGAAATGGAAGGGGAAGGGTTTGGAATTTGGCACCCCGTGCAACTTGGCACCCTACGTGGCTGCCTAGTTTGCCTATAGGCACAGGCCGCCCCTGCCAGCAGTATCAGAATGCAAGAGGAAAGAAAGAGGAGCAGCGTTAGCATGAAGAGGGAGAAAGGGACAGGGAGCATCAATATGGCTATGTCTGCATTACAGGGTTTTTGTGCAAAACCAGCCATTTTTGTGCAAAAACCTGCGAAGCGTCCACACTTCAAACACGTTTTTGCACAAGAAAATTTACAGTAAAATGGCAGAACAGAGGGATTTTTGCAGTGCAAGTATACCTCTTTCTAACAGGAATAACTCCTTTTGGAGCAAGAGTTCTTGCACAAAAAGGTGTGGGTGGACACCCAACAGGGGTTTCTTGCACAAAAAGAGCCTATCAGAAAAAGCACAGGCGCTCTGATGGCCATTCTGCGAATGGCCATCAAAGCTTTCTTGTGCAAGAGTGTCCACGCCGTGTGGACGCTCTCTTGCACAAAAGCACATCGCTTTTGCGATGCGCTTTTGAGGTGTGGATGCACTTTTGTGCAAAAAGTTTTTGCGGAACATCTCTTCTGCAAAAAGCTTTTTGCGCAAAACCCCCGCAGTGTAGACAAAGCCTATCAGATGGAGAAACAGCACCAGCAGAATCATTGATCAGTAGGTGAAACTAGTCCTTAGGTATTTGCTCCACAAAGTGTTGCAGGCTCCAGATTACCTCCTTCTTTTAGGGACGGAGATGACATGGATATGCTTTTGAAATAGGGTATGACGGTAAAATACATGGTAAAATACCTGGCTTCCCCGTTGTCTGGGATGAAGGCCTGAAATTTTCACCCTTTATGGGAAGACAGAACGGTGAAGATTATGATTGTTATAAACTGATCCCAGAAGCATGTAGGAGAATGTTTGGGGAGTTCAGAGAAAAGGGGACATGCTGATGAGGTTTCAACTAAACTGAAGGTTTCTGTAAGAAAGGTGATTAGGAGTTACCACGATCAATGAGGTCTTTTTCTTGATCCAGCCAATAGACAGAATCTCTGGGCCACAGAGCGCTCCAGTCCTTCAGGAATGATTGGAAGACCTTGGCCTACGGAGGCCCTGTAAGACTGGATGTTCGGTCTGAGCTGCAACTGTGATTAACTTGTAACCACCAGGAACCCCCAGAGTGGAGAGCTGACAGACTTCTTCAGCCAATGTCTCGGGAGCAGGAACAAACTCTGGTAAGCTTATTAGCATGGGTATCTATTTTCTCTGTAATGGTTTGTGACCTAAGAATAAGTTTAGAACGGGGTGGGGAACCTTTTCTGGGCTGGAGGCCACTGACCCAGAGAAAAATCAATCGGGGGCTGCACACAAGTGGCAGTAAAACCCAAACAAACCCTCAATTATGTGGCCCCCGAGGACCCCAAATGAGAAGAAGGAAGATACTCCTCACATTCCCCTCATATACCAGAGCCTAGGGGGGCCCAGGTTAGTAGATTTTTGTGTGCTCCAGTCCTGCAATAGGGTGGTGGTGGGTCTGGAGAGGGAGACCCAGTGCTGGGATGGGGGATCCCTGAGCCTCAGGAGCCAGATGCAGGCAAGTCAGGGGCTGCATCTGGCCCTCAGGCCTTTCGTTCCCCATCCCTGATTTAGAAAGAACCAACCATGTGATAACGTAGATCTGTAGCAATGAGTGTTGTCGGTCTGCGAAGCAGGTGTGTTTAATAGACTGTCTTTGCTGGGAGTAACACAGTGAAAACAGTTAACTCTTCAGCCAGGACACTTCCTGGTCAAGAGGCAGTCAGCTGTGGGTTTCAGCCTAAGAGAAGCAGCACCTGGATACCTGAGAGTGGTTGTCCTTGCTTGACCATTGAGAGGAAATACAGATACAGTTGCTCTGAATTGTGACACTGCCTCTGAGGGATGAATTAACTATATCTATGGGAAAACCATTTCTGTCAGCGTAGGAAACATCTAAATGACAGCACTTCAGCAGCAGCAGCCTGACTCAGCCTTGCATCTGTAGTGTAGGCAAGCCCTGAGTCTGTGTATGAAAGGAGAAAAGGCTTTGTGAGAGGAAACAAGAACACAGTAGCAATGAATGACAAATGAGATACTGCCTGCCCTCAGAGTAACTTTGGGAGTAGCCCATTACCTTGGCCCTTATCCAATAGGCAAATGTTCCTTACTAATCCCCATGCCAATGTGGGGTCAATGGATATCAGCCCCAGAGTCCTCAGGCAGGCCAGTTTCCAATTACTTGGAAAGGGTTGCCTAATCCAGTCCTGAGGCTCCAACTATTCAGCTTTATTAAATGGCCAGTCAGGAGGGACTGTTGTGACTATTGAGGCAACAAAGCATCCCCCGTTCTTGTGAACTCCAATGTTAAATAGTATGTAAACATTCATAAGATGTTACAATAACCATGAAAATATAGGTTGAGTTGTTAATGCTGTTGAATGTTGTAGCAAGTACAGAAAACCAGACAAAGAAGCTGGATTAGTCTAAACCAAAAAAGCTACTCTGATATAATCCAAGGACTGTTGAAATTATACTTCGTCCAAACAAAAGATATGGAACTGGAAGTTAATAGACTAAAATTGACCTTATGGATATTGGGCCTAATTGGTGGACAAAATAAGAAGGACAATTAATTGTGATGCCCACTTTTCCCCCCTTTGGGTTCATTAAAAAGATACTTTGAGTGAGTTTAAGGCCAGCTGACTTTCCTCTCAACAAAACATCCTGCCAACGAATTGCTGTACTGCTAGTTTGGGAGATGGGATAGAATCAGAAATGAGAGAGTGAGAAGAACTCACAATGTCTTTTTTTTCAAAGAACTTTGTTTTCACCACCACGTGCTGAAAATCACAACATTTATCGTGACCTTTAGTATTCAGCCATCACAGGGAATTTCTAATGACCACCACTGCAGATGCACGTCCTGCACTGGTTTCCCTTTTCTTCTTGTGCTATTTTCTGCCCCTCCCCATTCTATCCTCTCTCACACTTTCTTGGCTTGTCACTAAATGCTGAAGTCAGTTATGCTGTATTCATCCAAGCTGGCTCTTTTCTCCTTAAACAAGGCAGATTAGGTGACATCCCTAATCAGACTGTAACCAGGATCTAAGCAACAGATGTCATGGTTGATTGGCCAACCAAAATCATCCACTTGTAACTAACCAGCGATCCAGTGTTCCAAAAAAAGCTGTATTTCATCCACTGTTGCTATCCTGCCTCTCTTCTACCTTGTGTCTGTCAATTTATCAACAACAGAATAATTAAATGCTCTCTATGCATCAGGAATAAGAGAAAAATTAACCCTTTCCTTTTTATCAAAGATTGTTCTGAAAATGAGAAACAGATATTTTGTCTCCAAAAGGACAAAAGCTGTAAAAATTTTGACTCTTTGTTTTGCATACTCATTTCCCCAGTTTCAATATAAATGTCCGTTCAGATATCTTATTCTTTCTTGTGAATAAACTTCTAATTTAAATGGTTTTTTAAAGTGTTTGTCAAATAATTGAGTAAAACCAAAGCCTATGTTTAAATAACTCCAAGTCTACTTTCATTATTTAGCATGAAACAGCTATAAAAATTTATAAACACCTTTTATTCTTTTGGCCTCTGAAACTAATATCCATACAACAGGACCTCAAAGTACACTCAGCTTCTCTGCTGTTATTTTCTGCAATTTTTTAAAGAAGTCCTCCAAGTAAATTTCTAGACAAGAGTCTCACTGGAAGGGAACCAGTGACTAGGGATACATGCCTTACTGTAAGGGTGCACTTTTCACCCTCTATTTTTCAGTCCTACTACTCTACCAATTCTGAGTAGGTTATTGTGACTGTCAAAGTTTCACTGGATAAATCCTGGGTAGAAAGCTTATGCAAATGAAGATTTCTGTAGCCATTCTTAACCCTGTTCGCCCACAGATGGGAGCAGAAAGGTACGTCTACACTACAGAGGAGATGGAAGCTGCCACTGTCAATCCTCCAGGGTTCAAATTAGCGGTCTATCTAAGACAGCTAATTCTAAGTGAGAGAGGCACTCCGGTTAATATCGGCAACCCTGCTTTCACAAGGAGTAAGGGAAGGCAAAGGAAGCGTATTCTTCCTTGACTTCCTGCAGTGTAGACAGCACCAAAAGCCGAGTTAAACTACTTCAACTTCAGCTACACAATTAACGTGTAAATGTACCCAAAATTCCCACCCCATAAATCCTTAGGCCGCATGGCATAAATATCTGAATAACATGTTATAAAAGGGTGCCTGAACAGTTCCAAATACAAATTGCATAACTTGTGAAGATCTCTCAGGCAGTGTTGTTCTAACCTGTTTTTTCCCCCATATCTATAACATTATAAACTGCACTAAATTAAGTGGGATTTTCAAGAGCACCATTGGCTTCCCTGGGAGCAGAGTTAGGCCACATACTTGTAAAAATTCCACCTCTTAGGCATTCTAATACCCTTGGTAGCTGGGCAAATCATTAAGCTCTCTCCTTTAGTTTTTCCATCCACAGAATGAGGATAATAATGCTGACCAGAACTGGACAGGAACCAGATTTTCCATTTTGTTGAATATTTAACAATTCCATTCCAAAAGGGAACAAAAAAAATCAAATTTTCCCCCAAAATAAAAGTCAGAAAGAAGTTTCTGATCCAAGCGTTTCAGTTTTGAAATGTTAAAAATATAATGTATTTTTTTAAATTGAGACCAACACATTTTAAAATAGAAAAGTCAAAACATTCCATTCTGATCTTATTTGAATGAGCTGTTCTAGAGCACTGTTTCTCAATCAGTGGTACGAGTACCGTTGGTACTCAAGAGAAGTCTGGGGGGTACGTCAACACAACTGAAATTTGGAGAAAACTGAATTTTTGTTTAAAGTTTTACAGCGTTTTATTATTTTGTACTTTTTACACCCAAAAATTTCATAGCCTGCCCGGCTATGATTAAGTTGTTTAAAAAAATGCTTTGCAACGGTAGAAAAAAATTTTGTGTGGCTGAAAACTGTAGGTAAATGGGATACTTATAATTTTTTTTAAAAGGGATACTTTATAAAAAAAAAAAAGGTTGAGAAACACTGTTCTATAGTTATTGTGTCCCCTCTCCTGCTTCTGTCAAGAAAAATTTTATAGCAGGCTATATGTTTCTGCAAAACATTTACGTTTTAACGAATCATCATTTTCGGATGGAAAACCATTTGGTCAGAAATATTCTGACCAGCTAGAAATGCTGGCCTTGCATTTTAAGGGCATATCTCTGAAACACTTAACTTCACTTAATAATAGCTCCCCAAAATAGGATTCCCTTAATCAGCCAAAATAAAGGGGTTTTTATTCCTTCAGGGATGCAGATACTTTCCACTATGAATTCTTATGTCCCCCACTCACTGTCCTCATTTTGTTTAGAAAAGAGTTACTAACGGATTTTTCTGTTCAGGCAAAACCAAATGTTTTACCTTTTTAGATCATTGAAAACACCTCTCCTGTAATACTCTTCAAAGGTTAGCACCTATTGCCATCCCAGCTTGGCTTTGAAGCTATGGTGTCTTACTTCCATTATGTTTTTTCCCTTTGTGAAATAAAGGATCAGCTGACAGACACAAATACATGCCTATTAGTTTGTTCCTGTTTCATTTCAGAGTACAAGAAGGCAAAGTTGATCAGACTAAAATCTATTTAGATAAAATATTAGTCACCAGGGCCTCACAAATTTCACCCTATGTCATAGGCACCAACTTCCTCTCTACTCTAGTGGTGCTTGACACCTTCCCTCTGTGTTCCAGGCCATGTTTCACCTCCACCTCATCCCCCAAATACCTGTCCCCACTCCTTCCTCCAAGCCCCCACTCTGCCCCAATCCACTCCTTCCTCAAGCCCCCGCTCTGCTTCTTCCTGTACCTCATCTGAGTGCACTGGATCCCTGCTCCTCCCGCTCCTTCCTGGAGCATCCTGAATTCTTCAAAACAGCTATTTAGCAGGTGGGAAGCTCTGGGAGGGAGGGGTGAAATAGATTTGCAGGCCTGCAGGCTGGTGAAAAGGTGCTGGGTTCTGGAGGTGGGGAAGGAAACTTGGCTGCTGATGGTTGCTGAGCACCTGATAATTTTTCTTTCCGTGTGCACCAGCCCTGGAGCACCCATGGAGTTGACACCATGCCATAGCATATTTAAGGTATTAGCTGAAAAAGTCTGGGAACTGTTAGCTACTGTCTGCAAGAAATGGAAGAGAGGTGAGATTCCAGAGGACTAGAGAAGGGCAAACATAGTGCTCATCTTTTAAAAGAGGACCTGGGAAAAAATACTGGCATAATTTATCAATCAATTTGTAAGTGCTTAGAGGATAATAGGGTGTTAAGTAATAGACAACAGGAATTTATCAAGAAATAATCATGCCAAATCAATCTAATTTCCTTTTTCCACAGGCTTACTGGCCTAACAGATGGAAAGGTATTTCACAGGGTCCCACTTGAGATTTTCATAAAGGAGGAAATGTGGTCTAGATGAAATTACTATAAAATGGATACACAACTGGTTGAAAGAATAGTTATCAATGGTTTACTGTCAAACTGGGAGGATGTGTAGAAAAGACTACAGTACTATTCAATATTTGTATTGATGTCTTGTATAATGGAGAGAGAAGAGTATGTTTATGCATTTTTGTGGATGGCCTTAAGATAGGTGAGGTTTTGAGGACTTTGGAGGACAGGATTAGAATTCAAAATAACCTTGACAATTGACAATTGGAGAACTGGTCTGAAATCAACAAGATGAAATTCAAAAAAGACGAGTGCAAAGTACCTCACTTAGCACTTTCATGTAGGTATTTAGATTATTTCCCAAGACTGTTGCACTACCTTCTGACATGCCTCTTTCCTCTGCACACAATCCTTGCAAAATCCTTTTGAGTGCACTGTGACTTTGCTTCTCACTGGGTTCCCTTTTCTCTCCTCTTGACCTCCATTATACACCTTCTTGGTGGCAACTGGAGTTCTTGGTTATAGGAAAAACTCCTCTGAGGACAACATTAAGAAGAGATGAAGATAAACTCATTTGACTATGAAACAAAATACAGGACTATGTAGCACTTTAAAGACTAACAAGATGTTTTCCCCCGCCTTACAGTTGTGTTGTTATCCACAAACAACAAAACGGGACAGTGACATGTTTCCGTTCTGAGTTTGTAGCGAATGTATAACAACTTTTCTCCAAAATACATAACTAAACCAGGTGGAAAATATGGGAGAATCAGGCCCACTGGCTTTGTGCTGTTTATTTCTTCTCCCGGATTGCAAGTCACATGCATACTCCCCCTCTTCCACTGCTATTCATGACGGAAGAATTCTGACTTCCTCTGTTGCTAAAAATCCATTCCGTCACTTTCATCCCTGCTAATAAACCCTGATCTATCCATTTAGCCTGCTCTCCCCTTGACTATCACTAACATCTTCTCTCCAGGTTTCCTCACACCTCATTTTGCCTCCCTGCAGGGCCACTTCTTCAGTCATCATCTGTTCTTGCCACATCACTCTTCTCCTTCACTGGTCTTTTACTGTATTAAGTGGAAGTTGTTTACCCCCCGTTGTCAAGGTTTCATTCATGATGATTCTGATATGTGATTTATTGGGTTGTTTAGTTTTGCTGGTTTATTTTATTTGTTCTATTTCCCTACCAACCAGCATCTTCAGGGCTTGTAATCTTTCTCTGCCACTGCCAGCAAGGGTCATGCCTTTGGCCAGCAAATAATTTGGTTAGTCATGTTTTTGTGTACTAAGCCGAAATAACTTTCCACTAAACAGTTGAACAGTGGATTCACAGTCACTAATATTATGGAAAAGCATTTGTGCACATGCTTTCCAAACTTCATCATGGTGTGGACAACATTTGAATAACGAGATTGACCTATGGACAGCTGGCTTCCTGTTAACAATAGGGATGTGAACGGTGTACTCTTGTACACGGTTAATTAATGAACCTAGGCCAACCCCCCCAACCTTCACTGATGTGGCCCCCAACTGAGACACCTCACTCCCCTAGTGCTTCAGGCCCATGTGGGAAGGGAAAGGACAGGGAGGACTGAGGTTCAAGGCCTCAGGCCAGATTAACTCTGCTGGGGTTCCAGAGTTAGTGGATTTTGCGGGCCCTCCCTAGACTCTGGGGTGGGGCCAAAAATAAGGGATCCAGTGTGCAGGACAGAGTGGTTAGCGAGTGGGATAGGGACAGGGGTGCAGGATCTGAGTGGGAGGTAGGTGCAGGAACAGGCTGTGGGTGTTTGGCCAGGGAGGATGGGCAGAAGAGGGTGGGGGTGGGTGTCTGGCCAGAGGCAGGGGGCAGGAGCAAACTAGGGGTGCAGGATCTCGACACAGATGGGTGAAGGATCTCAGCTGGGGAGGAAGGGGGGATGGTGCAGTGCCTGGCTAGCATTTATTTTTTTCCCATTGTCTGTTACAGGGTTTATTCACTGTAACAGTTACTCTCACATGGCAGCCATCCATTGCTCCACAGAGGTCACGGAATAAGTTAGCAGCCCAAGAGATGAGTGTGGACTGGAGGCCACGCCTCACAAGGAGCGCAGGGAGTCCAGCCCGCCGGCACCAGGAAGAGGGTGCTCACACCGATGACGGACTCCAGTGGCCCCACGGGGCTCTCTGGCGAATGCAAGTGCGCAGTGGGGACTCAGCCTTGGCAGTAGCAAGTCCTTGTGGGCAAGATGACGGCCAGGTCTGCCTTTGCCTCCCATGTGGCTCTCAGGCTCCCTGTCCCAGACATGGCTTCCTGCTGCTCCATTGGCTGGAGTCTGGCCAATGGAGCAGCGGGAAAAGCCTGCAGGCAGCAAGTCTGTGCACTGCTTTGTTCCTCCAGCTGGGGGAGGGGGAGCGTGTGCTCCAGCTTTTTCCCTGATCACACAGTGAGGCTTCGGGCTTTCTCCACCCCCGCAGGAAGCCGGCACTGGCTAAAATCTTGCAAAGTGCACAAAGATGTAGCGCCAGCGTGGGCTCCCCATTGAGGTGGGAATTGAGGGGGGCTGAGCTTGAGCCGTGAGCCATATTTGGCTCCTAAGTGAGCCATCTATGGCTCATGAGCCATAGGTTGCCAAACCCGGTACTATATGTTTGAGAGAGCGTCTGTCTATTTGTTCAAGAAATCTTCCAAAACAGTAAGAACTAGGATCACCAACCTTGGCATACAGCTTCCTCCTGTCATTACTTAAAGCAAGGGCAGGGTTTAATTGTGCCAGGAAAATGGGATGTGCCTGGAATGGGATTGCTTTTCATAAAGAGACAGAATCACCAGGCAGACGGTCGCTGGGGTACACCCTCCCCTCTCCATGTGGGACTGCCCAAGCCTTCCACCCTCCTCTCCCCCCCCCCCCCCCGGTGCCCTTAAGGACAATTAGGGGGGCTGAAGCTCACCTCCCCAGGTTCCAACAGGTACATTGCAGGGAGCGAGGTGAAAGTACACAGTTTGCTGCATGCCTCATTCTGGTTGGGGAGTTGCAGAGGGCAGATGAGCTGTGCATTTTGCTCTCCCTCCCTGACAGGAAGGGGAAGAGCAAGCAGTCCTGGTATGAATCTGGGAAGGGGAGGGGACTTTGCACCTCCCCTTCCCGCCGCCGCCTACTCATGCACACAGCTGTCCTGAGGCCTTCCCTAAGGACCATGCACTAGTACCGAGTAAAGAGAAGAATGAAATCTTTTCGGACAGTTTACTGGTGGAGACATTAAAACAAGCCACAAAGGTAGAGAGAACAATATGTGGAGATGAGTCAAAAAGCTAAGGTGGAAAAAATCCATTCCCCTCTGAAGTTTTGATTAGCAGCTTCAGCCATCATCCCAGAGTTAATCTGCAGCAGCTGTGCACAGAGTGCCGGGTCTGCTGCCTAGCAGCCTAATTGGGAAGGCATGTTTAAAGGTTAGGGACAGATTCATATTTGTGCTCATGAGTTTTTTGTTGGGCATGAACGGAGAGCTGTCCGTTCTGAAGCCCAGGGAGCAGCTTGCCAGCTGCTGTTTTAACTCCCTGTGTGCCAAGTAACAAGCTCACTTGTTAGCCAAGATCGTGTCTATGATTTATATAGGGAAACACTGATGAACAAGGATTTTTTCTCCCTGCCTCCCATCCATGAGAGATGGGGAGACAGTAGTATTCTGCAGAACCCACAACCCCGTTGTTTTCTTTGAGGATACTTCAGAGACAGGTCAGACGTGGAAATGATTGCTGGTGAGCTGCAGCTAAAAGCATATCTGTTATACGCTATTTCAACCCTTCCCAGACACCTGAGATAGAGTTACCCTCAGGCTGGGATTTGACTGGTCTGGCTTATGGGGGGGGAAAGTATGAATTTGTCAGCAGCCAAAGGGAGCTGTATCACAAGCAAGGATTTGTGTGAACTAAGCAGCAGGGGGCACTCACCTGTCCAGGACGGCACCTCTAAACATTGCAGTGAGGATGGGATTCAAACCCACACAGGCAGAACACATGGGATTAGGAATCCATCACTTTAACCACTCAGCTATTTCATCTCATTGAGTGGAGGCTATTTCACGCTTCCAAAAGCCAGTGCTGCAGGGACTCTTTTTGCCACTAGTTGGCTAGACAGCAGGGCCATCTGGAGGACAGCATGGGGCCATGGCCAGCACCTTCCCTTCCCCCAAGCAGAGCCTCAGGCCTGGCACAGGAAAGGCCTCTGTGTTGTCAGGAACAAGCCCGCGGAGTCCTGGGAAAGGAGCTGTCTGAGCTCAGGGTTGCGCTTCTGGTCATGTTTGTTCGATTTCCTGGTCTGAGGGGGAGGGATGGGCCTGGTGCCACCTCAGCCTGGGTTGTAGCAGCCCCTCCCCAGTTTCCAGTCTCTCTGCCACCCTGTGTGTGCTCCCAGCTGACAGGCGGCCTCTAGCTCTCCAAGCCTCTCCATGCTAGAGAACAAAGCGTGAGTCATTTGGCTAGTGCCTGGGAGAGCTGGTAACCAGGGGAAGCTGCCTCTCCTTGTCTGCTTTGTACCACGCTCGGGCCTAAGGTAGGAATTGGAAAGGCAAAGCTTTGTGACAATCTTTGAAGCTACAGGTTCCTCTTGTGTCACAGTAATAATGATATGGGCAAAGTGACAATGTGGAGACAAGAACAATGGCTATAGACTGGCCATTGTTAGCAGAATGTGAAGTAAATAGGGTAGAGACTCATAATGTTGTTTTGGACCTTGCTTTTACTGTGAACAGGCTGGAGAAGCAAGAAAATGTCAGGGAATGCACAAGACAGCCCTGAGGAGAGGGAACGAATCCAGCCAGGGGTCACTATGGGAAAGTGGCAGCTGGAAAGGAGGAGAAGGTGTAAGAGAAGAGGCCAAATCTGCAAAGCACTGAGCATGGCCAGACATATCCCTGCTCCATACCCTGGCCAGCAGGTGGAAAAGGAGCTGTATTGCCCCCACATGAGCAGGGAGGACTCACTAAGCTGAGCTCTCCAGGACAGAGCGGCCAAAGCACACAATGAAGAACACACCTGCAGAACCAATGCCTGCAGAACACACCTGATTAGTAATCCATTGCCTTAACCACTCAGCCACCTCATCTCAGCTGTTGACTGGCATTTTGCACTTCCAAAAGTCAGTGCTGCAGGCAACCTTTTTGCCACTGACTGACTGGACAGCAGGGTTATCTCAAGGACAGCACAGGTCCTTAGCCTGTCCCCCCCAACCCAGAGGCAGAGGCGTAGGGTTGGGGGCAACTCCCCCTTGCCATCGATCTACCCCCATGCCCAGCCCCTACCCTGACTCCATCCCCATCCCTAAGCAATGTGGCCTGGGGTTTATGGGAGGCCTAGCACGGAGGCAGCAGGGGTCGTACCCACGACATTCTCCACAGTGGCAGGAGCCGGAGTGGCCTGGACTATGCTGTCATTAGGCAACACTACCTGTCACGTTAGAGATAGCTTAGCAAGTGTTGTCTCTTCAGTTGTGTTTGCACAGCACCTGATCAGGGTTCCTGGGAATAGACTGTAAATAGCTCGATCCACCATGATACCTGTCCCTGCTTGTACTGTGGCATTCTCTTTTCTGTGGTGACAGGCTAGCTTTTTCATACGTGTGATGGAATCCAGCGTTCAAAACCATTTGCAATGTCGCTCATGTTTTCATGCCAGGGTAGAATTTTTCCTGGAATGTTTGAGCCTAGCAGGCCGAAGTTCTGAGTTTGTTCTGAATTCCAGCTCCTCATACCGCAAACCCGGCCTCCCTTCCAGATGTGAGTAGGGCTGGAGTCCACAAATAGCCCTACTGATTTCAAAAGCACTTCTGCAAGTGCCAGGTCCTACTCAGCAGGTGGGAATGTGGCAGAATAGCCCTTGCAGGCTTAGCCTCTGTTGTGCGCACAAAAACTGCCCTAGAAAGTACAAATCAAAGGGTAACGTCACTTTGTTGCCCAAGGAAATTTCACTTCTTTTAAGAAAAGGAGGAGGGGAGGAAACAAAACTGCACCTATGTCGACATTTTAGATCCAAACAAAAATGGGCTGAATCCCTAGGGGGAATTCTGTTTGCTTTTCAATAACTCTGTTCTTCTGGAAATCGGATAAAGAGCCACACTGGGTTAGTGAGGACTGCAACCTCGTCTATGGGCTGGCGGTAGCATGTTGGGTATGTCTGTGTGGCTACATACAGTGATGCCCTAGGAAAAGGTATGCTGCATCCACGCGGGAAAGGCTGTGGCGGAGAGGAGGCAGCGGGGAAGCGACAGGACATTACATGGCTTAAAAGAGCAGCATAGACAGGGGAGGTGCTGCTTGCAGGATGCAGAGAGACATGAAGGGAACATCCGGTCAGGTTCTGGCATGAGCAGTGCCTCCCTGGATACTCTGCTATTTATGCATGTGGTGAGGGTGTGGGTATACCATGTATGCATTAACAGGTGTGTTGTGAGCAAGACACGAGAAGTCATTCTTCCGCTCTACTCTGCACTGGTTAGGCCTCAGTTGGAGTATTGTGTCCAGTTCTGGGCACCTCATTTTAAGAAAGATGTGGAGAAATTGGAGAGGGTCCAGAGAAGAACAACAAGAATGATTGAAGGTCTAGAGAACATGACCTATGAGGGAAGGCTGAAAGAATTGGGTTTGTTTAGTTTGGAACAGAGAAGACTGAGGGGGGACATGATAGCCGTTTTCAGGTATCTAAAAGGCTGTCGTAAGGAGGACGGAGAAAACTTGTTCATCTTGGCCTCTGAGGATAGGACAAGAAGCAATGGGCTTAAAGTGCAGCAAGAGAGGTTTAGGTTGGACATTAGGAAAAAGCTCCTAACTGTCAGGGTGGTCAAACACTGGAATAAATTTCCCAGGGAGGTTGTGGAATCTCCATCAGTGGAGATATTTAAGAGTACGTTAGATAAATGTTTATCAGGGATGGTCTAGACAGTATTTGGTCCTGCCATGAGGGCCGAGGACTAGACTCGATGACCTCTCGAGGTCCCTTCCCTTCCAGTCCTAGTATTCTATGATTCTAAGAGGTATGGACTCTGAGCTAGGAGGGTGGGCTCTGGGGTTGGGCCAGAAATGAAGGGTTCAGGATGCAATAGGGCCTCTGGACTCCAGTAGGGCATTGAGAGAGGGTAAAGGTTCCACTAAGGGTGCAAGCTTTGAGGTGGGGCAGGGAATGAAAGGGTGCATGGTGTGGGCCCTGGGCTGGGACTGAGGAGTTTGGCGTCTCAGAGGGAATGTGGGTTCTGGGAGGGAGTTTGAGTGATGAGGGAAGTTCAGGGCTGAGGCAGGGATTTGGATGTGGCAGGAGGTGAGAGGTACAGACTCCGGGAGTTTGGATGCAGGATGGAACTCAGGCAGGGGGTTGAGGTGCAGGAGGGGGCAAGGGGTGCAGGTTGCAGATGGCACTTACCTCAGGCAGCTCCCAGAAGTGTCCGGCTTTTCCCTCTGACTCCCACGCTGCCCCATCTGCAGGCACTACCCTCACAGCTCCCATGGGTTGGGGTTCCCAGCCAATGGGAGC